GTAGTTTTATTGCACTAATCTCCATATAAATATATATAACTCAATTAATTAATTAATTAATGAGGAGGGAAGTTAATTAATGTCCTTGTCAAATATGCATGCTTTAATTTGTACGTCTGTGTGGCCTCAACTGAGTGAAACATCTTAATCATGCTTTTCTCAGGCCACCATCAAAGTCACTTTCAATATATAAAAATAAATATATAGATATATTCTTGCTTTTTAATCATAATGAACACTTAACAGTGAAATAACATTTCAAAAGAATACCAGAGTCAAAAGTTTCTGAGGACTTAAGAGAGTGTAAAAGTAATCCCACTGTCAGCTTACTGAATTCCTCCAATGTAAATCACGTTAACCTAACTTCGTACATATAAAAAAAAATTGTGTCAAAAATTGGTTAATTAACTTGTTAAATTTGTCAAAAGGATAAGAAATTACAATGCTTTCCATTATTGCTAGCTAGAAGGTTATTTCTATTTCCAACTTTCTAAGATTGGTACTTTTTAAATTCAGAATTTTTTTTAGATAATGTAGCATTCAATAGTCTAATGCTATTTTCTAGTAGCATTCAACATCCTAATATTATTTATGGTATATCCGGCATTAATTCTAATGTTATTTTCTTGGTACACCATCATCTCTTAATGTTATCTTCCAATGCAGTGTCATTATCTTATTTCAGTCTAGGACGCACTAAGATTGAAGTGTTAAAAGCATCAGAAAAATATGCATCATAAATAAGATTAAAGTTTTAAATGCAACTAAAAAATAATTTTAGGATATTGAATGCTACTTTATTTCTTATTTAAAAATCATTTAAATAATGCAGTTAATTAAAACTGACATATATTTAAAATCAAAATAATTCCATTAAAAGTATTTATTCTCACGAGGCTGAACATTTTCCCCACAAAATACTGACATTTAACTGTCTCTCACTTCTTAATTACAATCAATGACAGAACATTAAAAAAAAAAAAAAAAAAACTAGACATTACCTAAAAGTAACTTATGTTTTAGATTTTAAAAAACCTTCTAAAATATATTACTTGTATTTTTAACCTGAAAGACTAATTCAATTTGATTTATGATAAAAGCTGTTTTATTATAGTCAATCAAAGACAACCATACCAAACCAATAACTAAATATAAAGCTGTTTAAGTCATTCTCTCATTATTGTACTAAGCTATTTTAACTAACCCATTGTTCAAACCCACTATCCAAATCAAATGTACTCTCTAAATTTTATTATATATCAGACTAATTATATTCAATTAATTTGGCCTCGTTTAGTCACCCTGGCTAAACACACATACACGCATCTGTATAAAATAACCCACTTTATAGATTTGGCATGCCCCCATGCTCTATAATTAATGATTATATGCAAACTTAGCACATGTTTCATATGTATGTGCCCTAAAAATAAGTATATCTATATGGGCATCATGAGGAACAACTTTTTATGAGGAGTCAATACGAAAATAACAAAGCATACAGGGGGAGAGAGAGAGATTTGGTTAAGTTGAAAGTGAGAAGGCAGAACCTGGAAATTCCAGACAATTCTAGGGTTTGATTAAAGATGTATCATATTTGTATATTTATATATTCTTTTTAAATGCTCCACTCAGTGGTGATGGTCCCTTTGATTATTCTTTTGCTTTTTTGTTATTTGTTTGTTTTTTTTTTTGGTGAGCTAATGCAATTTGCAATTCGGACCTAATTAACCTCTGAAAAGCCACTTAATTATAAAATATTTAAAGCAATAATATATCTTTAAGCCGAAAATAACGGATGGTGCTCTTCTTTAGTTCTTTGGTTTCCTTGTAATTTGTGTGGGCTAACTTATACCAATATATAATTTATACATGTTGTGTATGTACTACACACACAAACACCCATATATATATATATATATATGCCAAACTGCACATGCACATTAAAATTGTTTTTAAGAAAAAAATATTTACCAATTAACAGCCCTATACCACTATAGTTACAACTTTAAATCATGTATTAATCAATCAATTAATGTTTTGCCATTATATATAATCCTTTCTAAGAGGCAAGCTTAAAATATGTAGTTACTACATTAGATGATGAAGAGCATACCAAGTGGTTCCAAACCTGTCAATGGTTAACTGTTTCTCGTCATTTGCTATATATGTAGAAGTTAATCATCACTTAACTATTATATATTGTTATTCATACGCTAGTCCTTACTTAAACTTGTAAATACACAAAAATAACATGTAATTAATTAAGTTTTTGTTATTTGCTAAGTGACAAATGTTATTCACTTAACTGTTCTTATCATTTACATGCAGGTCTCTACATAGATTTATTAATATACATATGCAAAAAACTTGTCACTAGCTTTTTTTTGCCATCAAATATAATAACTTGTCACTAGCTAAACTATTCTCTTCATCTGTTAAACGAAAGTTATTATTCACTTGGCTGTTCTTTTCATTTATTAAATATATGTTCTTCCTTAAACTTGTCTAAGCAAATGCACAACTTGTCACTAGTTTGAATGTTTTGTTAACATACAAAAGTTGTTATTCCCTTGTCATTTCATATATCTCTTAAAACTTGGCAGTTATCTTATAATATTTTGCACTATATGTATTATTTAGAAATTTTAGTAGCTTAATGATTATATATTTTTTCGGAAACCAAAGGGTGGTAGGATCAAATGGGAGCTCTGGCTGCGAATGGCATGGGATTTTTTTCACATGAAAGCAATTAGATAATTTCACAAAAACCTGGTTTTAGAATAGCTCTCAAAACTTCATAGTAATTCAGACATTTCAAATGACCATTTTTGGATTCCCCACTTGGAGGTCGTTATATTTAAAACTCCCAAGGCTAATTTGAATTAATGTGCTCGACATTTGATTCAGCTTTCATGACAGGTCTGGAACTTGATCTTGTATTCTTGTACCAGCAAAGCATTATATTCAAACTTAATGGGTCTTCCCTAAACCTTCCCACAACACAAAAATCATATATTATTCTTTAATTATACTCCCAAAATATAAGGCTTTAAATAACGTTTTAGAAATTCATCGGGTGTCATATACGAAGCTTGTGTAATAATATAAAACTTTTGATTTTGAAATAAAAGAGTCTCAAAAATCTGCTGCCTATCGGAAAATCTGCCAAAATCTTGGCGTATATTGATTAAATAAAAGATGGAAAACGAAAAAAGTCCTAGCTTCTACCTAGATTGTGCTAAACTGACCAATTAATTATTTGGTTTAATTAAAAAAAGTTAATCACGTATCTCGTGGAGAATAGTTCTATTATTTTCTATTAGACTGGTAGTCAAGCAATCAACAATAGATGGAATATTTGAGGATCAATTTGGATCCACAAAACTAAGTTCTTTACAAGATCTTCCTTCTCTTTTGTGACATTACACAAAGACAAGTTCGATAAGTGCTTAAAATTGATCATGATGGCTACAGATCAAATTATATTCGTCAAGCAATTGTGAAGATAAACAAGCTAAGCTCGATGCTGATATGAGTTGGTTTAACATTAACACAATAAAGAATAAATATTGAACTAACATATCTTCATTATCATCAGAAAAAATGGACACACACACACAGTTATACGCACATATATGTTTATTTAGAGAGGAGGTCCAAAACTTACAGCTAATATATAATATATTATATCGTCCTTCATCTCTACTTCTGAGAAACATAGACTCTCTTTCTGGCGAATCTTGAGATTGCACGTAAACAAACAAAATTGATGGCCATTATATGATATTTTATATATCATCTTGATGGTCTCCATTTTCAAATGTTGTGCTGTGACATATATATAATATATATTTCGAAAACCTTTACAAATATTAACATTATCTACGTAAGAAAGGCGTCTATATTTTAATGGTGGCACAAATAATTATTGTTGACTCTGAGAACTCAGTAATGCTTTCTTTTGATATTCTTTTTCTTCCTTTTCTTTTCTTTTCTTTTCTTTTTTTAAATTTCATAACATACATACCTAATGATTAAATCATTAGAAGATCAAAATATTTATCAGATCAGACACAAAGTGTGAGTAATGGTAAAGTAACTAATACGAGGTTTAATGTAAAATTTCTGAAATCTAGCTATATACTCCTCCGGTCCTAAATAGAAGACCTTTATACACACTAGTATAAGGGTTTTATATTTAGGACCCGAGGAGTATAACATAAAAACTCTAATAAGTTGTGCTAGCTATATATTCATGAGCAATAAGTTCAAGCTTATGATATGTTATTCTGAATTACACTGCACTTTCTAACTAATGATACAATATTTACATGCATTCTGTCTTAGAATCTTTTTTTTCTTTATTAAAATTTGTAGCATGTAGTGGCTTTTTGCAGGAGTTATATATGCTTATACCCCAAGAGAAAATTGATCTGGGGTGCCTGTTTTTGAACCATATTAATTAACTATAGTTATATACCCCACTAGGCTAATTTAAAATTTAAAAGGGGGGTCCTAAAGGAAACAATGGAACTTGATGATGATGAATAAGGAGCTGGCCAGAAACCGACAATGGACAAAGCAACCTCTCATCAGACTAATAAAATAATAAAAACAAAAGAAGGAGCAAGTACTATAATGGCAAATTGGAGCAGGGTCACATTCATCTTTGTCCAAAACTAGACAAACAAGGTTATATCAGATCTCATGCCACTGGCAGAAACAACTAATTAAATGCAAAATCATATATTTAACAACCCCACAATGGTCTTTTCACACAGCTTTGTCACATATATTCACTGGGTGTGCTTCATAACAAGGAATATACCACTCAGCATTTCTATATGTCTGCATATTCAAACACACACACAAATATAAGCGTTGAGCTCCCTTAACAAGTCTTTTCATAGTTCATCAGATCTCTTGCTCTTTCTTTCTTTCTCTCTACATATTGCTTTTACGTTGGCTTTTCCCATTAGAGAAGCAAAATGAGTTTCCCAGAAAAAGATAGAGAGAAGAAGATGATGATGAACAAGAAAGAGAGAGGTTCAATACTTGAAATATTCAGATATGCTGAGTGGACTGATGTAATGCTTATGTTGTTGGGTGCTTTGGGAGCAATAGGAGACGGCATGTCCACAAACGTTTTGCTTGTGTTTGCTAGCCGCATCATGAACAGCTTAGGTTATGGGAATACTCAAAAACAAACTAATGGTGGGAATTTTTCCATGGCCGAGGTTGAGAAGGTCAGTCTCTAAAGGTTGACTATATATCAGTCTGTAGTCTTCACTTTTTCCCAGATATTCTTCCTCTTTCCTACTATTCATCTCTCTCTAACCTTTTCTCCTTCTTTTTTAACTTGAAATTCATTGTTTACAGTGCAGCTTATATTTTGTGTACTTGGGATTAGCAGTCATGGCGTTAGCCTTCATGGGTAAATCCAATGTTTCTTCTTTTTCTGTTTTTATATCTGCTTTACTTTTTTGATACAAACGTGACAAACGTTTTAACATAGCTAATTAGCTCCAGTACTAGGTATCATATGGTAGTGGGCATCTTCACTTTTACCTGTTTTGATGAACAATAAAGTGATGCTGTAAGAAACCCTAAACTTAAATCCCCAGTTTTTTGAAAAGCAAAATAGGAAGAGTTAAGAGAAACGAGAGACAATAAATCACCTACATCTGAGTAATGGGGATGTACTGTGATCTAAGAGAAATGGCTAAAACTTCTCAAAATTTGATTTTGAACCAAATATATAGAAACACTCATATTTAGTAAACTGTACTGATTTATATTCATGCTTTTTGCAGAAGGGTATTGCTGGAGCAAAACAAGCGAGAGGCAGGTGTTGAGAATTCGGTACAAGTATTTGGAAGCCGTGCTGAGACAAGAAGTGGGATTCTTCAATTCACAAGAAGCAACTACTTCAGACATCATAAACAGCATATCAAAGGATACTTCTCACTTCCAAGAACTTCTCAGTGAAAAGGTTGCAGTGGGTTCTTTTTTAGCTAGTTTTTAGTCCTGCAAATATGTAGAATATAATCAATATTTTGAGCTCAAGTTAAATAGCTAGTTTCAAAGCTTAATCATAGTTAGGGTTTCAAAGGAAGGCGATGTGGTAGAAGATGTTGGAGAAGCTTTTTCTTGGTCCGAATGTGGAGAAGCTTTGAAGACTGACTATATTAGCCTGTTAGCTTTTTGTATATTAGGACAACCCAACTTAAACAGTATGGAAATAGTTCAGAATATATTTATTAATATGTAGGTTGAAAAAACTTGATCAGATTTTTTTTTTTTTTGGACTTCTTATTATCAACTATTAGTTTCCGAATGAAAGTATAACATATATAGAATAACTTTTAAGAAATCCAATATAGCATTAAATTAAAAAGTACATCATTAAAGAAAACCCTCTACTTCTTGTATATATAGAAAACTCATGACCAAAAAAAAAAAAGGTTTTCTCCATATATGTGGTTTTCTGGCCCCTGATACAAACTGATATATTTTAATTTTTTTTTGGCAGGTGCCTCTATTTTTGATGCATTCATCATCATTCATCTCAGGGATCGCCTTCTCAACGTACTTCTCATGGAGACTGGCCATAGTATCCTATCCAACACTGCTTCTTCTGATAATACCGGGAATGCTTTATGGGAAATACCTAATCTACTTGTCAAACAAGTCCCACAAAGAGTATGGCAAGGCAAACGCCATTGTAGAGCAGGCTTTAAGCTCTATAAAGACTGTTTATTCGTTCACAGCAGAGACAAGAATCATGGAGAGATATTCTGCAATACTTGACAGAATCTCAAGGCTTGGAATCAAACAAGGCATAGCCAAAGGTTTGGCTGTGGGAAGCACTGGCTTGTCCTTTGCTATATGGGCGTTTCTGGCTTGGTATGGAAGTCGTTTGGTTATGTACAAGGGTGAAAGTGGAGGAAGGATTTATGCAGCGGGAATTTCCTTCATCATGAGTGGGCTGTACGTGACTTTTCTTCTTCTTCTATCTCCTCTCTCTATATATATAGATATGTATATCTTTAATCTCCTAGTTGTCTTCTTCATCATTTGGCTATCAGTTAAATTTGATAGAATTAATGCCTTTTTTGAAGGATCTTCTAGTTGGAGCTCTTAATGGTAACGTTTTCTGTTTTGTAGACCTTACAAAGAGAATGGCACAAAGAATTAATCCCCTATCTTTTTCTTCTTTTTTCTTAGAACTCTACAAATATTTCAAGAGGATTTTAAATCTCTGCAGCAAATTTTGGTGTCATAGTGATTTGATCTTTAACTCTTTTTTTTTCTTTAAATTATTGTAAAGTGTTTTTTGTGAGAGGATGTAAAGAAGATGTACTAAAAGTTGCAGCAGCATTCATATTCCAACTTCACCATTTCAAACTCTAGAGATTCAAAATCGGGGTTGGGTCCTCTAATGTGCATCCTTTGATGTATTGGTAATACCCCAACCTCCCAAATATTTTTTTTCCTTTTCCTTATTATATTTTATGTAAAATGAATGAAATTTTGATATCTACATATGGTGATGAAATGGTGCAATTTTATAAATCAAAACTGCACAATTTTAGAGTATTTGTTCTTTGAAAAATCATTAAAAAAATGAATATTGCAACATTTTATTACTATAAAATATCAAAATGTCATTTATTTTATGTAAAATGTAATGATCAAAAGAAACATGGGGGAAAAAAAAGTTTGGGAGGTTGGACATTATAAACGACATTAGAGGGGAGGCAAATTAGAGGCACAAACCCAATCCAAATTCATCATAGTTTAATAGTTATCGTTATTCTTTTCTTCCCTTAAAGTCACAAGCTGAAATGGGAGAAGAACAGTGCATAGAATTATTATTCATCTTACGGGTGTAATTTTTTTCTTTTTGCCCCCTTTTTATGTGGAATTTGAAAACCTAAAATCAGAACTCACTAGAGTTAACTTTAGCAGTTGCGCGGATCTTTATATGTATGGCTTTCGTTTATGTATGTGCACTTTAAATAAATTTAAGTTGCTTATCTGCATTTATTATGATCCACACATACACACACGCACACATACACATTTTCCTGCTATTAGTACTGAATATTATGATGTAACTTTGAGAATGCACAACAAACACATGTTTGGCAGTCTCCAGTACAAATTATACAATGTAGAAATTAAGTTTAAGAGAAGGAAGCTGATCGGAATCTAACTTTTCTGGAAATAATACTCTTCTTTCACCAAAGTTCTCTCTCAAAGCTTTCTCAAGGAAAGCAAGGGGTGGCTAGATTTAAAAAGAAAAAGGATACCATACGTGTTCATAGAGTACAATGATAGTTTATAATTATTGAACCGGCCTGTCCTTTCAACACGAAATTTTTCAGAAGAAAATTAAGTATAAAGAGTCATGAAACAACTTTTTATGTATATACTTGTAAAAGAATATCCAAAGCTGCTTTATTAAGTTTTTAAATTTGAATGATATTGACTTTCAATTTGTGGTTCTTTAATACTTAAGTTTTGGATAATAACTATCTCTAGTGATTAAAGTAAAGTGCTTTATTTCATTTAGAGGCTCCAAAAGTTGATTATATTGCATTGCTTGTTTTAATCTTCTGCCGGCTTCTTGAACATTAATGATGATGGTCCTGCAAATGGTGGTAAACCCTGTAATTAATCAGAACTTCTAGTTGAGAAATAGAGCAATTAATTAATTAATCTCAAAAGAACTTTAACCAACTTCTCCCATGTTTGATGAATATGACTCAACAACGAAAGATTTAGGAGAAATAGGAGATACAGATACGTAGCTTAAGCTTAAAAATTGATATTACTTGTTTGAGACAGGCCAGAGAAAGGACATAAATATAAATGGTGGTGAGGAAGGTCAAAGTAAAGCTAGTTCAATCAATTTTAGCTAGTTACGTAACAAAAGTGTCTCATTAATTAGTATCAAATCATAACATACTTTGACAGCATAACATCAATGTGATTTTTAGCTATATATCTTCACTTTTAGGCATTACATGAGCATTAAGGTAGCTCTCATATTCTTTGTAATGCTAGTAGGTGAAATACACTCCTGTTTTGAAATAACTGTCACTTAAGAATTTTGATTTTATTTCAGAATAATTGAACAGCATTTTACCCTTCATTAATGGAAATAACTATTGATAAAGTCCAAGTGTTTTCTGATAAATACACATATTATAGTCAAATACCATTAGAATTTGCTACAACTTCGACTACTTAATAGTTTTCTCAATCTATGTACATAATTTTAACAATAATTATTTCAAAATATTGCAGATCACTTGGAGTTGCACTTCCTGACCTTAAGCACTTCACAGAAGCATCTGTTGCAGCATCAAGATTATTTGATATGATTGACAGAATACCAACAATTGATAGTGAAGACACAAGAGGACTTGTGTTAGATTGCATAACTGGCAAGTTAGAGTTTGAGCATGTGAAATTCACCTACCCCTCACGTCCAGATACAATTGTTCTTAAGGATTTCAATCTCACAGTTGAAGCTGGCACAACTGTGGCTCTTGTTGGTGCAAGTGGGAGTGGTAAATCCACAGCAATAGGATTAGTACAGAGATTTTATGATGCAGATGAAGGTTTTGTGAAGGTTGATGGTGTAGACATAAGAAGCCTACAATTGAAATGGATAAGAGGAAAAATGGGACTTGTGAGTCAAGAGCCAGCACTATTTGGGACTTCAATAAAGGAGAATATTATGTTTGGTAAGCCAGATGCTACAATGGAGGAAGTAATTGCTGCAGCCATGGCTGCCAATGCTCATAACTTCATCAGGCAGCTTCCTGAAGGTTATGAAACTAAAGTAAGTGAAAATGCACTACATAATAACTGCCTGTTAAATCTGCAGAATTATAGTGACTTAATTTAATTTATTGAACGTAAACCAGATTGGAGAAAGAGGGGCTCTTCTATCAGGTGGACAAAAGCAGAGAATAGCTATTGCAAGAGCCATCATTAAGAATCCTGTGATTCTCCTTCTTGATGAAGCAACTAGTGCTCTTGATTCTGAATCAGAACTACTAGTTCAGAATGCACTTGATCAGGCCTCCATGGGAAGGACCACTTTGGTAGGTACAAGTAACATCTAATTGGCTTAAAACGGTGGCTGTTTCGTCTGTACTTGTCTTGTCTAACACCTTGTAAACATGATCAGGTTGTTTCTCACAAGCTATCAACAGTTAGAAATGCAGACCTCATAGCAGTTGTCAATTGTGGCTGCATCATCGAAATAGGAACTCACAATGAACTCCTCAACAGCGAAGATGGGCACTATGCTAAACTAGCAAAGTTGCAATTCAGTTGTGATGAACATTTGCAGAACCCGGACCAGATTATTTCTTCTGTAGCAAGAAGCAGTGCTGGTAGACCAAGTACTGCAAGGTCAAGCCCTTCAATTTTCCCAAAATCACCATTGCCTGATGCTACCCCACCACTTGAGTCTCACCCTCCACCTTCTTTACCACGTCTTCTTTCTCTGAATGCTCCTGAATGGAAACAAGGTCTGGTTGGAAGCCTCTCAGCTGTAGCCTTTGGCTCAATTCAACCCATATATGCCTTAACCATTGGGGGTATGATTTCTGCATTTTTTGTTGAAAGCCATGAGGAAATGCGTCATAGGATTAGAACTTATTCCTTTATTTTCTCTTCATTATCCCTTGCTTCTATAATTCTCAATCTCTTCCAACACTATAATTTTGCCCATATGGGAGAGAAATTAACAAAGAGGGTCAGATTACAAATGCTAGAAAAGATCTTAACCTTTGAAACTGCCTGGTTTGATGAGGAACGAAACTCTAGTGGGGCCTTATGTTCAAGGTTGAGCAATGAGGCTTCCATGGTGAAGTCACTCGTTGCGGATCGCGTCTCTTTAATGGTTCAAACCACTTCTGCTGTAACAATTGCAATGATCATAGGGCTTATTGTGGCTTGGAAGCTTGCACTTGTTATGATAGCTGTACAACCACTGACAATACTTTGTTTCTATACAAGAAAAGTGTTGCTCTCCACACTTTCAACTAATTTTGCCAAGGCTCAGAATCATAGCACACAAATTGCAGTAGAAGCTGTTTATAATCATAAAATTGTAATTTCCTTTGGAAGCAACAAGAAAGTTGTACAACTATTTGATGAAGCTCAAGAGGCACCAAGGAAGGAAGCCAGAAAGAAGTCTTGGCTAGCCGGGATTGGAATGGGTTCGGCTCAGTGCCTAACTTTCATGTCATGGGCTTTGGATTTCTGGTATGGTGGGACATTAGTTAAGAAAGGAGAAATATCAGCGGGGGATGTGTTCAAGACATTTTTTGTATTGGTGAGCACAGGCAAAGTCATAGCTGAAGCTGGAAGCATGACTTCTGATCTTGCCAAGGGTTCAGCAGCAGTGGCATCTGTTTTTGCGATTCTCGATAGACAATCATTAATCCCAAAGGTAATTGAGATTATCATTTTTTTAATCTTTCTCAGATAACCAACCAATTGACCTAACTTGAGCGAATGCGAAGAATTTATCTTACAAGACAAGCCTATAAATATAAAGCTGTCACAAAACTGAAATACCATCTTATATCTTGATATTGCTTTTTCTTAACTTGCATGTAGCCTAACACCATATATTGTAATTGTTGTTTGATTAGGGTGGGAATGTCATTAATGGGTGCAAATTGATCAAAATAAGAGGAAAGATAGAGATGAAAGATGTTGATTTTGCTTACCCAAGCAGGCCAGGGACTCCAATACTGAGAAAATTTTGCTTGGAGGTGAAGTCAGGAACAAGCATAGGAGTAGTAGGGAAAAGTGGGAGTGGAAAATCAACAGTGATAGCTTTAATTCAGAGATTCTATGATGTTCAGAGAGGGTCTATCAAAGTGGACGGTATAGACATAAGAGAACTAGACATTCAGTGGTACAGGAAACACACAGCACTGGTTAGCCAAGAACCTGTAATCTACTCAGGAAGCATACGAGACAACATCTTATTTGGAAAGCAAGAAGCAACAGAAGGTGAAGTTGTGGAAGCTGCAAGAGCTGCTAATGCTCATGACTTCATTTCGTAAGTTCTCTACTTTATACTTAATATAAAACTAAATCATAGAAAATTATCCAGAACTTTATAAAACTCCTTAAACTTTCAAGTTTGTGCAAATACCCTCATGCCATCAATTATTCCATTGTTCCACTGTTTAAAAGGTTATTTATATAACTTAAATTTTAGAGGGTTGTATATAATATAGCTTAAACATAATAAATTAACACTGAACCTTTGACACAAGTAACAAAATTCTGTGTTTATAATGCAGGTCACTGAAAGATGGGTATGAAACAGAATGTGGAGAAAGAGGAGTACAACTATCAGGAGGGCAAAGCAGAGAATAGCAATTGCAAGAGCCATAATTAGAAACCCAACAATACTTCTGCTAGATGAAGCAACCAGTGCCTTAGACGTTGAATCAGAACAAGTGGTACAAGAAGCACTTGATAGAATAATGGTGGGTAGAACTACCATCGTGGTGGCACACAGACTTAACACCATTAAGGAGCTTCAATCCATTGCCTATGTTTCAGACGGCAAGGTTCTTGAACAAGGAACCTATTCACAGCTTTGGCACAAGAAAGGCGCTTTCTTCAACCTTGCTAGCCATCAATCTTAAGTTTCATGGTTTGCTGATGGCTTTGTCTATTGGGCTTAATAGGCTCCATGATATTGAGCTTGAGGCTCTCTTTTTCAGCTTAGTATGCTTTCTACCCCAATATATGTATTATAAGTGGGCTAGAAGCCTAGAACAGATGTATGAAGATGTAGTATGGGTCCAGGTTGAAATCAAAAGTAGTGATCTTTTTAACAAGAAAAGAAAAATAGTAATATTTGTAAGGCAGTTTGATCTGGTGAGGTATATATAATATAAAGTTTTCTAATGTTATTTCTGAAGTCATCTTTATTTTATAAATTGCACAAAATAGTCATTAGCAAGTTTTCTTAGTGGCAATGCTACCCGTCACATTCAGATGAAATTGCAGATTTGAACCTTATATGATACATGTATCTATATTAGTACTTCTTTGATCCTACAAAATAAAATTGAACATTTCCAAATATCATTTAAGCTTATTCTAGAAACTATAATATTTTTAATTTTAATAAAAATAAAATATAAAATGAAACTAATTTTCCATTAATAATTTAAAAAATGGCAAAGTCTAAAATGTTCGAAATGTCAACAGACTGTAGGGATTAAGTGGGTGTTTGCATAGTTTTAAGATCTTTAGAAATCTTTTCACAGTAAAACAAAGTAGTATAAGTATATTTTTGAGTAGATTAAAGTTTTAAAACTTAGGTTACAGGAATGGTTAAACTATTTTCACAATTACAGGAAGTGGTAAAAAAGCTTGAACATAATTTTCAGAAGGGAGTTGTGGGTATGAAACAGTAAAGACTTGCAATTCAGTTTTTGAACAACAAAACAAAGCATAAATATGGAATGCTAGAAATATTAAAGACTAAAGACTCATGGGATAAATTCTGATAAAAAAAAAAGACTCATGGGATAAAGACAACGTAACTGTGATTTATCCCTATTTAGTCCTCAAACAAATTATTTCAGATTTCTTCACTCTTCCTCATGAGTTTTGAGTCAGGCTTTTATAATTGCAATCTTTCTCTTCAATAGTAAAAAAAAAAAAGAAATTCTTCTCTAAACAAATACGTTGAATAAAGTAAATAATGTGTTAAAAAGCTCAAAGTTTTTTCGAAAACACACGTTAGGGACAGAATATTAATTGACACGTTGAAGTGAAAATTTACTATGGGCAAGATGAAGCCCATGAATGTGTTGGGACTTGTTTGAAATAATAATTAAAACCTTTAAAAGCAGCTTTTTAACCATGAGGTTTAAAATTTAGGCAAATTAATTGAGTAGAAATGTGTGTTTAATAATATAGTTAACGCGTTAGACAACATGATTAACGTGTTAATAAAGGTTTGGAAGTTCCAACTTTTATAAAACCAAAGAATAAATATCAACTTCCACAAAAACCATTTGAAATTGAGAAAAAAATATAAGTATTTCCAAAATGATTTTTCCTTTTAAGTTCATAAAATAAGGTTTCCTACTTTCTGGTCTATGTTCTTTGTTTGATTTGTATTTTACTAAAAGAAAAGATAAAAAGTAACACGGTTTTTTCAAGGGACATTGACAATATCCATTTTGCTTTTCTTCTCCAACTTTTCCACCATATATAATCATAGATGAAGATGCCGTCGAGACTGAAGACAAATGCTGAATGGTGCCCCTAGCCCCTCCCGGATTGGAAGGATTTGATGAAAGATGCAATAAGCTTCCACTCTGTTACTGTTATTTGTATTTTTTTTCCCCCGCATATCAAGGAATATAAAATAAAGTTTTTTCACAATTTTAATGGGTATTGAAAGATGGCCCAAAAAAATTGAGAATATTGAGGGAAAAAAATATGTTCTACGTTTTTTTAAGGGAAAATGACAGATAAAGAAGCTCCAAAATGTGAAATACCAATTTGGGAAGTTAAGGAAATGTAATTACCCATAGGGAAGTCCTTCTCAAATTGGAATTTTGAAATTCAGTGAAATGATAAAAATGTCCTTTGTTCTTTTTTTTTAAAAAAAAAAAAACCCAACCCCTCACCGGTGGCCAGCGACCGGCGGCCACCAACCGCCTCTGGCCACCGCCGGCGACTGGCCTCCAGCGGCCGCCAACCGCCTCTGGCCACCGGTGTGGTGGCTGCCGGTGAAGGGTGGCTGCCGGTGAAGGATTTTTGTGACAAGATTTTTTTTTTTTGGAATAGGATAATATTGGTTCAAAGTGACGGGGGTGGGATTTGATCCCACAACCCCTTGACCACTTAGACCAACAAAAGGATGACTATTGGGCCATCAAAGATTTCTTAACCTTATAATGCAAACAAAAATATAAGTTAACTCTTTTGCTGTGACTCCAGCTCGTGACAACAATTTATCTGAGGATGACAAGTCTTAATTGAGAAATAACAAGTCTAAATTTGATATTAACAAAGCAACTTTTCCTTATACATAACAAATAGCAGCATGTGCATTAATTAAAAATGATCATAATTTATTTAAAAATGACACGTCTTTGTTGAAAAATAACAACAATTTATTCGGTATTTCTTGTTATGTATAAGGAAAAGTTGCCTTGTTAATATCAAGTTTAGACTTATCATTTTCCAGTAAAGACGTGTTATTTTCAAATAAATTATGGTCATTTTTAATTAACGTAGATGCTATTTCTTGTTATGTATAAGGAAAAGTTGCCTTGTTAATATCAATTTTAGACTTGTCATTTTATAGTAAAGACGTGTCATTTTTAAATAAATTATGATCATTTTTAATTAATGCACATGCTGCTATGTTATGTATAAGGAAAAGTTGCTTTGTTAATATCAAATTTAGACTTGTTATTTCTCAATTAAGACTTGTCATCCTCAGATAAATTGTTGTCACGAGCTGGAGTCACAGCAAAAGAGTTAACTTATATTTTTGTTTGCATTATAAGGTTAAGAAATCTTTGATGGCCCAATAGTCATCCTTTTGTTGGTCTAAGTGGTCAAGGGGTTGTGGGATCAAATCCCACCCCCGTCACTTTGAACCAATATTATCCTATTCCAAAAAAAAAAAATCTTGTCACAAAAATCCTTCACCGGCAGCCATCACACCGGTGGCCGGTGCCGGTGGCCAGTCGCCGGCGGTGGTCGCCGGTCGCCGGCCACCAGTGAGGGGCTGGGTTTTTTTTAAAAAAAAAAAAAAGAACAAAGGGCATTTTTGTCATTTCACTGAATTTCAAAATTCCAATTTGGGAAGGATTTCCCTATGGGTAATTACATTTCCTTAGCTTTCCAAATTGGCATTTCACATTTTGGAGCTTCTTTATCTGTCATTTTCCCTTTTTTTAACTACTTTCTTTGTTAATTTAACAGGGATAAAATTAAAAAAAACATTATTTACCTTACAAAATTAAAGATTTATATTTAGGAATACATTTTTCTCTTACGAATAACTTAGATATAAAAATAGATTGATATTATAATAAAAATCAAATATACACTTCCTCCGGTCTTAGTTGCATAAGCAACTTAGGGTTTTTGTGTCTTAAATATGATATTATCTCCTGTCTTTAATATAAAATCTAGTTGACTAATTTGAAAAGACTAAAACAAATTAGTTTAGTTATTTATTATAAATATATGTTCTCTCTCCTAAAATATTCTTGCTGATCGTGTATATTAATTAGAATTACTATTAGATGAAACATTTAACATGTACTATTAGCTAGAATTACCATTTGATGAAATATTTAACATGTACAACTACTATGAGGGCTACTTTAGAAAAAAAATGAATAAATATTAAAGGCAAGATGGATTAGGGTCTTATATTTGGAATCAAATTAAAAGTCAAACAAACTCTTATAATAAAAAACAGAGGTAGCATATCAATAAATTTTGTCTTTCAAATTGATACGCTTTTTGTTTTCATCAATAAAATAGTGATCAAATGTGGTATTTTAGAGATATTAATATGTATTTGTTATAAATAACTAATTTAACTAATCTTCTTAACATTCGTATATTATACTCAACAAAAATGCCGTGTGAATCATTGAAAACTTGACAGCAAAATGTTGAAGATTACTACCAACAAATGTTGATTTTAATAAAAATTATTAATATGAAGTCTGGAATATGAGCTTGTATAAATGCAGAAAATGACTTTGGGGGAGTAACCCTAATTCGCTCCGATCACACTCAAATCTAATCAAATCAGGCAGGTATCAGCTTCAAAAAAGAAAAAGAAAATCAGCGACCACCATTGAATACAGTAGTGACACATCAAAGCTTGATTATAGAAACTAGGAGCTTAATAATAATAGATACTTTTCGTTTAAATATTTCAGTTAAAAAGTAAGAGTAAAATTTTAAAGCGTGATTATTTGGCCAAAAAAAATATTAAGATGTGATTGGTTGATCGGTGCAAGTTCCATTGCCTTCAATATAATAAAAATATTTAAATCGAAAAATAAGAGTTGTAAGGTGCGAAAATATAATTTGAAACAAATTGTTAGATGCCATTATCCCATACTTGGCTTATCAGCAACTTTCCTATTGGAGAAAGAAGACACCGTCTTTGAAATGCTTATACAGGGGCTACGTGGGTGTTTGCAAAGTTTTAAGATCATTAAAAATCTTTTCACAGTAAAACAAATTAGTGTAAGTATATTTTTGAGTAAATTCAAGTTTTAAAACTTGATTACTGAAATGGTTAAACTATTTTCACGATTACAATAAGTGTTAATTAAAAAAGCTTGAACATGATTTTCAGAAGGGAGTTGTGAGTATAAAACAGTGAAGAATTGCAATTCAGTTTTTGAACAACAAAACAAAGCATAAATATGGAATGCTAGAAATATTAAAGACTAAAGACTAAAGACACATGGGATAAACACAATGTAAACTGTGATTTATCCCTATTTATCCCTACACGCTTAAATTTACATCGAGTCCTCAAACAAATTACTTGAGATTTCTTCACTATTCTTCATGAATTTTGAGTCGGGGTTTTATAATTCATTACAATCCTTCTCTTCAATTTTTTTAAAAAAAATCTTCTCTAAACAAATACTTTCAATAAAGTAAATAATGTGTTAAAAAGCTCAAGGTTTTTTCAAAAACACATTTTAGGGACAAAATGTTAACTGAGACGTGAAGCAAAAATTTGCTATGGGCAAGATGAAGCCCATTAGTGTGTTAGGATTTATTTGGAATAACAATTGAAACCTTCAAAAGCAATTTTTTAACCATGATTTAGGGTTAAAGATTTAAGCAAATTAAATGAGTAGAAATATGTGTTCAACAATAGAGTCACCGTG